ATTGGAATTAAAATTTTCAATATTAATATCTCATCAAGTCATGGTTGTGCTTTTATGATTTTTCTCCCAAAATAAAAACCAAGATGATAATTTCATCTTGCTAAACAAAATATATCAGTTTCTAATCACTGCTTTGGATAGGCATCATGAACTTTTGCGGAGAATCATGGGTAAGGTACAGAGTAGATTCTGGTAAGAAACACTGTAAGAAAAGTGACACGAGTCATGAGATATAAATGAGAAAACCATAAATACAACACCCTTCAGTCTTGCTATAATAATACATTTTTGCTGCATCATGAAATAAATCAGGAATCTGGTTTTGAGTGAAATAAGTATTTATAAATATATTTGTTAAGCATTTATAACATGTGAGTTAAAAATAGCTCACTATTTGGCAGGTATTGCATTAAAATCACCCTTTTACTCATGCATTTATAACTGCTTATCAATGATTTATAATGCATTTGTAAGTGAGTTATTAGTATTATTAGTAAACCTTTATAAACCCTTTATAAAGGCAACCTTAATGTAAAGTGTTACCCATATTTATTCAGTTTATTCAGAAATTTCTATTCATTTTCCACTGATTTACGCGATCTGATGATAATTAGCCGCTCCCTGGGCTGTCTCTGTGTGTTTACTATCTTCCGTGCTTGCGCTGTGACTGACAGAGACCCTGATTCGTCCATCGCCTTGTCGATCTTATTGCGTCTCATAACAAGCCCCGTCTCATCCTGTCACGTGCTTCCCTGCTCTTCCGCGTTGATTTCTGACCACAGCAAACACAGAGAAACCTCTGTACCCACGAAATATCCAAATAATAAACACACGATTACGATATGGTTTGTATGTGATTTTCTTGAGATTTGGGGTATTTTCATAACAACAAAGAATGTGTACATCTGAAATGCTAATTTGTGCACTTAGTATGAAATAAATGCATTTTAAATATATTTCTTTTTTACTAGGGTGATATCATTTCTGTAGGTGGAGTTTGCTGAAATCCACGTAAACGATATTTTACGATCACACAAAAAACAAGTAAAAGTCACTCTTTCAGATGCTCATGTCATCTGCTGAACACTGGATATGATTTTGCACATACAGCACAGATTGGGTAAGTGATTCTACTACATCTGTGTGCTGAATTTTATTTTAAACAGTAATTAAGCATATATTTGTGTTCCCCGCCTGCTAAACTTGGATTATAAATATATTTACTGTTTCTCATTCATTCATACACAATGAAGAATGAGTCAAAACTATCATCTGTGCTGAACCATTTACTACACATGCTGTTGTAGACATTAATGAAAATAACCCAAAATATTCCTTTAAAGTTTGAATGTATGGTCAAATAAATCAATAAATGTGATAGCCTATATGTTTTTATATTTTTCTATGCTCAAAAGTTTGGGGTCAGTTCGATTTGAATGTTTCTGAATGTTTTTGAAAGTCTCTTATGCTCAGCAAGGCTGCATATATTTGGTCAAAAATACAGTAAAAACAGTAATATTGTTAGATATTATTGCAATTTAAAATAACTGCTTTCTCTTTCGATATATTACAAAATGTAATTTATTTCTGTGATCAAAGCTGAAATTTCAGCTGCCATTACTCCAGTCTTAAGTCTTTCTTATTATTATCAATGTTAAAAACAGCTGTGATGCTTAACATTTTTGTGGAAACCATAATACATTTTAAATGTCTTTACTGTCACTTTTTGATCAATTTAATGCATCTTTAAATAATAATAAATAAAAAAAATCAAAAAGATTTATTCAGTACTCTTAGATGCTGTCAGTATATCCATATTTTAATTTTCAGTGTCCAAATGTACACATTTGAAACTTTGTATACAAATGCCTGCAAATACTAGTTGGATCAGGCTGATAATAATTAGGGGCAACAAGATTGGACAATAATGAAATGAAAATAGACACAAATTCATATTGCTTGCATGAGCTCAACCGCTGTCCCCTGGCTTCAACTTCTGCTCTGTTACTGTTATCAAAATGATTATCATGAAGTGGTGGTGGTAGCACTGCAAGATTATCAATAAGCATCCCAAAGAATCCTCCAGCACAAGTCAGTGCCCCTCTCGTTCTCATAGCCTCACCATTAAATTCAGCACCCTTTGTTCCTTTCTTTCTATTTCATGCCTCCTATTCAGTGTGCTATTACACATAAGAGCTGTGGGTTATGCAGACCATTATGTGACCACAGTGAGCACAGTCTGTTTTCTCTCTGTCCGTCTCTGCACAGTGCTGTAATAAAACCCCAGGACTCTGCACAGCATCCAGCCGAGCTGTGGGATCACATTAACACCTCTCGGACCAGCCGGGCTATAATAATACATTTTTGCTGCATCATGAAATAAATCAGGAATCTGGTTTTGAGTGAAATAAGTATTAATAAATATATTTGCTAAGCATTTATAACGTGAGGTAAAAAATGGCTCACTATTTGGCAGGTATTGCATTAAAATCACCCTTTTACTCATGCATTTATAACTGCTTATCAATGATTTATAATGCATTTGTAAGTGAGTTATTAGTAATTTATTAACACCTTTATAAACCCTTTATAAAGGCAACCTTAATGTAAAGTGTTACCCATATTTATTCAGACAGAATCATAATTTCTATTCATTTTCCACTGATTTACGCGATCTGATGATAATTAGCCGCTCCCTGGGCTGTCTCTGTGTGTTTACTATCTTCCGTGCTTGCGCTGTGACTGACAGAGACCCTGATTCGTCCATCGCCTTGTCGATCTTATTGCGTCTCATAACAAGCCCCGTCTCATCCTGTCACGTGCTTCCCTGCTCTTCCGCGTTGATTTCTGACCACAGCAAACACAGAGAAACCTCTGTACCCACGAAATATCCAAATAATAAACACACGATTACGATATGGTTTGTATGTGATTTTCTTGAGATTTGGGGTATTTTCATAACAACAAAGAATGTGTACATCTGAAATGCTAATTTGTGCAACGATATAAAAGTCTATAAATAGCATATTTTAACAACAGTAAATCTTCTGAAGCCATACAATAGCTTTGAGTGATGAACGATTTGAAATTTAAGTCATTATTCTCTCTTTTATTTCTCAAATGTGTTTCAGTTGATTTTCCTTTTTGAGTGAACTGTCCCTTTAAAATTGTGTTTTTAGATGGGAACTTATTTTAGAAATGTTATTGATTAAACACAACAAGTTGCCAGATGTTATTTAATTTGGTCAACAGTCTAATAAAACAGAATATTGCAATTTTAAATAACTGTTTTCTATTGTAAAATGTAATTTATTCCTGTGATCAAAGCTGGATTTTCAGTATCATTACTCCAGTCTTCAGTGTCGCATGATCCTTCAAAAATCACTCTAATATGCTGATTTACTGCTCAAGAAACAAAATTGATTTGAAACAGACATTTTTGTAACATTAGTATTATTATATCTCATTTGTAAATCATCTGCTAAATTAGAAAATTTAAGTATTAATTGATTACACAAAAGTTTTTGACTTGACAGTTAAAAGGAAATTCATAATTATTAAAATTAAATTTAAATTAAATCAGCTATTTGTAACAATAAATATGCTATTTTATACATTAAGATAAAAGAAACATAGTTTATACACAGTATGATAAAAATAGAAGAAGAAGAAGAGTTGGATTTTGTTATTGGACACCAATTCTGTTCCCTTAAAGTGTTTTTCCCTCATGCACGGAGGAAAAAAAAAAAATCAAAAAGCAACCTTCTTCCAACACTGAATAACTAGAGACTATAATGCTGGAGACACTTCAGTATTATGGCTTAGAGAGGGAGTCTGACTTGACCAATGCTTAGTGGTCTCACGTGGATACCATGGCAACATGTAATGTCAGCTTTGTTTGTCATTGCTGTATGTGTATGCGCCGTGTTCTTTCAATAGCTTATTTAGGATAAAGGTCTTGCCCTGGAGTGCACACTCTAGATTTCTGCGTTACACGGATCATGCAAAGGGTATGTTTCTTGAACTCTGAACACCTGCTCTGCTGTACGTTTACATTCACAGCCAGGAGTGATTCAGTTTGCTCACAACTAACTGTAATGGATATGTGATAATTAATACTTGTTTTATTCACTGTGATTTTATTATTGGTATGTTCAGACAGGTTAGTTGCAAAGGTGGTTTTGATATTGTCATTTGTGTGAATCATGGATGTGATATTAGTGAGTTCATTGCATTATTGAAAGGATCTCATTGTATTTTATTAATAGAAATTAAAAGACATTTAGTGTGACTCATGGACAGGTGGATCATAATTGAACAGTAATGAAAATAATTTTTTTTTTTAATTATCAGACCATTTAACATAAAAGTATTTATTTTCTTTACAGAAATGAAAAGAAAATTGTATTGCCAAACCAAATGCTGTTGACTTTTGCTTTTGACTTGATTGTATACAATGGCAATCACCCTCTCCCTTGCTTTCTGTGCTTGCCTTACCTTTTAGAACCAGTTCAGGTGGAGTATAAATATATATTTATATAATGCATACTGATATTGCCATAATTTAAATATTAAAATTGAATGAAGATTTTATGATTTTCCCTCAAGCTCTTTTTTTTTTTTTTTTGTCATTGTACAGGTTTATTATATTCTGTACTCTAGAGGGTCTCTCTCTCTCAGATATATATTTTTGTCTTTAAAAAAAAAAAAAATAATGCCTAAATAATGCAAACAAGTCATTGGACAATATTACTTTGGCTACATATAAAAATGCATGTGTCATGGATAAATAAAACTGAATAGCCGGACAATAAAAATAATTTAAATCAAATATGCAATAACTCAATCTGACACAAGTCGCGAGCTGTTTGAGAGGCGCAGAAAGTCTTAAAATGACTGATCTGCTCTGATAATCGGTTTGGATTCAACCTGCATGCTACAGTGCATACATGTTTGCGCGAATTTCCCGGAATGTGTGGAATTACGCACACGCAATCCCGCAACGAAACACGGCAACTAAACTATAAAAAAATCACATCGTTTATTATAATAGTGTTCTCATTATAATGTTATGTATATGACAATCCCAGTCATATTTATTAATATTCTTCATTGTTGTTTGTGCTGCTCGCGCTACCCGCTTAAGAGATAATCGCCGTATTTTATTACTGCAGCGCAACTCAACCAAATGCACGAGATACATAATGTATACACGATATACATAAAATATTGCAACTTACAGTTCCACAAAAGGCTGTGAGTGGCTGCACAAGTGAATTTGACTGTGCTATATTCATGAAGATATAACTATGTGGACACATTCTTTCCATAACAACGCGCTGAAACATGACATATTCTTTTACAGTCGTGTTCTCATTATAATTTGATGTAGCTTATGGTATATGACATATTTGTTCTGCACATGTTTCCCTTAATGGTACCTTCCTTCCTGATTCAAGCAATTCAAAACCATCATGGCCTTACACATTTAATGTGGGCGGGGGAGGCCAAGAGAGTACTGTGTACGTACCGCGGTACTCTCTTGATGCATTGCGGTTTTTCGGTTCAGTTAGTCTATATATATATATAGCTTATACACACACACATAGACCTATAACTTTTATATAATGTACAGTACATTTACATGTATATATGAAGTACTTCAAAAATAAAATATGCAGAGCTAAACAGACACAAAGGTGTTTGGTCTGTAATGATTCGACCAAGGCAATTCAGAATATTAAAGGGGTCATATGATGCTGCTAAAAAGAACATTATTTTGTGTATTTGGTGTAATGAAATGTGTTTATGCGGTTTAAAGTAAAAAAAACACATTATTTTCCAGTACTGAGGCGGTGCAAATATTATGTCTCTGGATATTGTGTGCCGGAGGCAGATGCCACGGTTGTGCAAATATGAGGATGTGCAAAAGGTTAAGATTACAGCAGAAGCCGGTATTAACGGCAGCAGTACAGTATAAGGTGCCATATATTGTATAGTATAGGCTAGTGATTGTGGTCTTAAGGCTTTGTGTTTAATGGTATTTGTGTACACTATAATAACCATCAGCATATTTCTCCTTTCATATGAAAAAATATTCAATAAATATGTAGTAGTTTAGCGACTGCAGCCTAATTTTAGATGCTCAGCAGTTTTTGGTTTTGAATTCTTTGATTGGTTATTTAAGTTATCTCTATGTGAAGACATTATTTGTCGAAACGACAAACAAATGGGTGGTAATGAGAAGATATGAGTGATAGTGACATGCATCTTTTGTTGCAGTGCTTACTTCAGCTCAGGATGAGTAAAGAAATGGAGGAGCTTTCTCCCCTTGTCGATTCGGGACACGGTGATGGGTCTGAGGAAGAAACAGAGGAGGATGACGAGCCCAAAATCTGTCAAGTATGTGGAGACAAATCCACAGGATACCACTTTAATGCCAAGACCTGTGAGGGCTGCAAAGGCTTCTTCAGGTGAGTGAACAGATCGTTCCCAGATGCTCCTCCTCTATAGTGTGAGGAAATTGTGATTGACGATTATTCATGCCGTTCCAAACCTGTGTGACTTTCTTTCTACTGGGATGTTTAGCAGAATGTCCAAGCTGCTCTTTATAAAGTGTAAAAGTGTTTAGTCTGTGAATTATGTGATTAGCAAGTTTAAGTAGTCATTCACTGAACTTTATTAATATCCTATTGTGTTCCATGAAACAAAGTCATACAGGTTTGGAAGGACATGAGGGTGAGTAAATGATGACAGAATTGTAATCTCTTTAATAGTTGACCCGACTATCCCAGTACACTCTTAATAAAAATAACGATTCTTTATAAGCATTTAATAAGGAATGTTGGAACAAAACAACAGATATCAAGGATATGTTTGTTAAAGTGTATTAACAGTTTCTGATGCACTGAGTTTTGTATTGTTCTGATTTGCATAATTTTTTTGAAAGCAACCTGTGAAAAAAAATAATTACAAGATACAGTAGCATATCTGAATTTGTGGCCAACCTACACGTTTCACAACACATTGTGTGCGTCCAACTGCAGTCACACAGTAATTGTTTGTTTCCCAGGATGCTTTCAGCATTTAAAAAAAAAAACATGAGAACTATACTGGTTAATGTACAAAAGAAATGCTTTCTGGATTTTTTCAGAAAACAATATTAGCCATTGGTGACAATGCTGTTCTTTTGGATCATTCTTGTCATATATAGCCAGATATGCTTTTAAAGGGATAGTCCACCCAAAAATGAAATGTCTGTCATTATTTGCTCAGCCTCATGTCTTTACAAATGTATAACATTTTTTCTTCTGTGGAACACAAAAGAAGATATTTTTGAAGAATGTTCATTCTGTGGACTAAAATAGCCAAAACGCTCTTTAAAATGAGGGGTCCAAAAATGCCCTTGTAGTGCATTCCTCTGATTATATGTGACCCTGGACCACAAAACCAGTCTTAAGTCGCTGGGGTATATTTGTAGCAATAGCCAAAAATACATTGTATGGGTCAAAATTATAGATTTTTCTTTTATGCCAAAAACCATTAGGATATTAAGTAAAGATCATGTTCCATGAAGATATTTTGTAAATGTCCTACTGTAAATATATCAAAACATAATTTTTTATTAGTAATATGCATCGCTAAGTACTTCCTTTGGACAACTTTAAAGGCGATTTTCTCAATATTTAGATTTTTTTTGCACCCTCAGATTCCAGATTTTCAAATAGTTGTATCTCGGCCAAATATTGTCCTATCCTAACAAACCATACATCAATGGAAAGCTTATTTAGCTTTTCAATTTCAAAAAATTGACCCTTATGACTGGTTTTGTGGTCCAGGGTCACATATGTTATCTAACATTTAATCTATTTTATTTTATTCTGTTCTATTCTATTCATGCTATTCTATTATGCTGTTGGGTTTAGTGTGTCTGCAGACTCAATAATGACCTCTTGCTTTCATATTTTTTCTGTATTTGCTTTTCTGACCAGCAAATTATTCAAACGTAACAGAACTAGCAGAGCATTTATTATCTTTTAATATTGTATCCATTATACACAGCTAGCCTACATGATGTTGCATTGATGAGTTGATTAAAAAAATATACATATTGGGAATTTGTGTTTCAATTTAATGGAAACCTTTAATAAATAGACTAAATAGAAAAAAAAAAATTTTGCCCTTGTGAAGGTAAAAATGCTCCTGAAAATCAGGTCCAGCAGACAAATGATGCAGTTTAATTAAGTAAATAACTGACACTGGTAGACAGTCGTGCTCGTATCTTGTGGTGTCTTATTTTTTCTGCAGTCAGTGAAATTGACTCTAGCAAATGCCTGTGTGTTTGTTTGTAAGGCGTGCCATGAAGCGGCCCGCACAGCTCTGCTGCCCGTTTCAGAACACCTGTGTCATCACTAAGACCAACAGGAGACAGTGCCAGTCCTGCCGACTCCAGAAATGCTTCTCAGTCGGCATGAAGAGGGAATGTAAGTTTGCTTGAGCCTTACTTTCCGTGTTCCCGAGTCCCTAAGAAAGCTGCTCTCACACACACGGCGGTGTGATGAAAGACACAAATGTTTGATTAATGGTTATGTTTATTAGCTTAATAATAGTAATCAGAATGATGAACGGTTCTTCTGTCAAGTTCTTATTGCAGATTGAATTAGTCTGTAGGCTGCGCATGGTTGACAAGCAACAAGACAGCTTGCCGTATTAATATAAAATTACCAGCATTAAACATGTTTAAATTTGTTCTGCACTGCAGATAATTACCTAATCACTTAACGCAACCCGGTCGACCTTAGCTCATTTTCTTGCATGTGTAATATAATAAGCATGTTTAATGTATAATACACTACTGTTCAAAAGTTTGGGGTCAGTAGGTTTTTTCTTAAGAAATAAATTAATACTTTTTTTTTTTTGGAACTGCAAACTTCAGTGTAGCCTAGAGGTGTCTCTTCTTCAGAAGTGGAGTTTTTCTTGGTCGGCAACCTTGCAGTCCATTCCTGTGCAGGGCTCTAGTGACCGTCTTCATTGAGACATCAATCCCAGACTTGGCTAAATCATCTAGTGTCTTTGCAGTTGTTCTTGGGTGTTTAGACACCTCTCTCACTAGTTTGTGAAATCTTTCGCTTCTTGCCTCTGCCACTGTAATTCTCACTTCAGTTCTTGACACTTGAAAATGCTTGGTTAAACGTATATATCCTTCTCCTCCTTTGTGAGCATTAACACTTATTTTAAGTCTTATAAGTCTAAACTAATTTCTTTTGACTTTGCCATGATGACAGTACATATTATTTTACTAGCTGTTTTGCAAGATACTAATCCTCAGCTTAAAGTGCAATTTAAAGGCTTAGAGGATTAATTAGGTTAATTAGGCAAGTCACTGGACAACAGTGTTCCGTAGCCAGTCAAATAGATCATGTCTTAAAGGGATACTCCACCCCAAAATGAAAATTTTGTCATTAATCACTTACCCCCATGTCGTTCCAAACCTGTAAAAGCTTTGTTCGTCTTCGGAACACAATTTAAGATATTTTGGATGAAAACCGGGAGGCTTGTGACTGTTCCATTGACTGCCAAGTAAATTACACTGTCAAGGTCCAGAAAAGTATGAAAAGCATCGTCAGAATAGTCCATCTGCCATCAGTGGTTCAACCATAACGTTATGAAGCGACGAGAATACTTTTTGTATGCGAACTTGGCAGTCAATGCGACAGTCACAAGCCTCCCGGTTTTCATCCAAAATATATTAAATTGTGTTCCGAAGACGAACGAAGCTTTTACGGGTTTGGAACGACATGGGGGTAAGTGATTAATGACAAAATTTTCATTTTGGGGTGGAGTATCCCTTTAAGGGGGCTAATAATATTGACTTTTGCAGTTGTTGTTTTTTTAATAATTGTTTTATTCCAGGCAAATTGAAAGAAATAAGGCTTTCTCTTTCTTTGTACTGTGATAAAATCCCTTGCTCTGTTAAACATCACTTGGGAAATATTTGAAAAAGAATTGAAATTTCTTGTGTTTTCTTTGTGTTTAATTGATCAAGTGACATTAAAGACATTTATAAAGTTTACGTTACATTATAGGAATAAATTACATTTAAAAAATATATTCAAATAGAAAGCACTTTCACAATATTACTTTTTTTATTGTCAAAAACTTTACAAAATCTTTCCTACTCCAATCTTTTGAACAGTAGTGTATACCTAATTGTGTATAAAAATTCCATAGTGTAGCCTTCACTTTGGTTCCTGTGGTTCTTTTCATCAGTGATCATGTCGGATGATGCTGTGGAGAAGCGGAGGATGCAGATCAGGAGGAAGAAGATGCAGGAGGAGCCTGTAACGCTCTCCCCTCAACAGGAAGCTGTCATACAGGAGCTGCTCACCGCACATCAAAAGACCTTCGACATGACTTGTGCCCACTTCATTCAGTTCCGGGTAACATACTTACCTGATTTCGATTGTCTGTTTGAGATTTCTTCAAATACTGTATATCTACTGAACTATGTTTTTAAGCACTGTCTTTATTAGAGGTTTTATGTCCTCAGCCTTTAGATCGGGATCAGAAATCCATGTCTGAGTGTGGTCGAGAGCCAAACAGCAGCAGGTTCACTTACGCAACCATGCACAAACCGTCGCCTGAAGATGCAATGCAGCAGACCATCAGCTTTGTCTCCCCCTCGTTCCCTTCCTTCAGCTTTCAGAGTCCTGAAAATAAAGAGAAGAATCAACATAAAAGTGCCATCTTCACCTCTCTGCCACATTTTACAGACCTCACCACATACATGATCAAGAATGTAATCAACTTCAGCAAGACGCTTACAATGTTTAGGTGAATACTGGCCTTCTTACAGTCCATCTGATATAAAGATTCATCACTGGTGGTCACAAGTGATCAGACAAGACATGTTTACACCTGATAGTTTTTTGCTCATGTTAGTTTAGTCAAGCAGCTTGACGGATACAAGATTATAATGAAGTTGTTGTGTTTTGAATGACAGGGCTCTAATCATAGACGACCAGATCTCGCTGCTGAAAGGCGCCACCTTTGAGATCATTCTGATCCACTTCAACATGTTCTTTAATGAGGTGACGGGCATCTGGGAGTGCGGCCCGCAGCAGTACTGCCTGGATGACGCCATGCGAGGTGAGGGTCTTCACAAGTCTCCGTTAATCTTATATAGACTCTGCTGTATAATAATAATAATAATATGAATTATTCAGCAAGGGTGTATTAAATTGATCAAAATTGACATGTATTACTCTTATATACAAAAGATTTCTGTTTCAAATAAATGATGTTCTTTAGATATTTTTATTCATCAAAAGAATCCTGGAAAAAAAAATTGTATCTCTGTTTCCACAAAAATATTAAGCGGCACAACTGTTTTTAACATTGATAATAATCAGAAATATTTCTTGAGCAGCAAATCAGCATATTAGAATGATTTCTGAAGGATCGTGTGACACTGAAGACTGGCGCCTGGTTACTCTGTTTGCAGTGCCTATGCTGTGCTAATTTTTTTCCATGCCCATGTTAACGGATTAGAGCGTTCACACTGCACGTGGTTGCGGTCCGGCAGTGCGTTTCAGGAGTGGTGCGTCTGCAGCAGTGCAGCCATCGTTTCTTTTATTGCTGTGCTGTACTGCACTGGATTAAAGCCACAGCGCATTGTTCGCATTAAAATAAGCATGTATTGACATGAAAATGCAGAAATTTCACCATAGATGAATACAATTTAAAGGGTTAGTTCACCCAAAAATGAAAATTAGCCCACAAATTACTCACCCTCAAGTCATCTTAGGTGTATATGACTTTCTTCTTTCAGACGAATCCAGGCGGAGTTATATTAAAAATTGTCTTTGATCTTTCAAGCTGTTTAATGCCACTCAGCGGGTGTTGCATGCATCAGTCCAAGGCTAATTTTCATTTTTGGGTGAACTAACCCTTTAAAGTCTACTGTGTTTCACGGTCAACACGTGACTTTATATCCAGGGTAAAGCAAGGAAAACCACCCCTTTACCTCACATTTAGATAAACAAGGTGACAATGGATTGCACTCGTCTGTCTCTTCGTGGAGGTGGAAAAACATGAAGATCTTTATGACCTGCAGGATTTCTTGTATAAAGATTTAAAAACTAAAGAAAAGATGAGAGTCGGCTGTTTTCATCTATTGTAAGTTTTAATTTAATCTGTTTGTGATTTTATCATATAGCCTATATTTAAATGTATTGCCACTTGCTTGAGCAACTTAATATATAAATCTATATAGAAGCCTAATGAATTGAATACGTTGTTTAGTGTACTTTTAAACATGACGTCTATGAAATACTTTAGAACTGTTCTCTGTACAAAGAGAATCGAAATGCTGACAAACCATTTTCATAAAAAAAAAAAAAACTTTTGGATTTGAAATAAAAAATAATGAATATATGTTGTGTCTGTGGTATAGGCCTACAGCCACGGATTAGTTACGCACTGCAAACTCATCATATGTGAAAGCACAACGAACTCGTGCTGCTTCTGCACTGTATACGTACTGCAAACAGAGTATGTGTGAACCTGGTGTGGAGTAATGATGCTGAAAATTCAGCTTTGCATCACAGGAATAAATTACATTTTACAGTATATCCAAATAGAAAACAGTTATTTAAATTGTAATAATATTTTCCAATACCTTTTCTGTATTTTTGATTTAAAAAATGCAACCTTGGTGTGCATAAGACTTTTTTCAAAACTTGTAAAGGATCTTACGACCCCAAACTTTTAAACAGTATTCTGTGTGTGTGTGTGTGTGTGTGTGTGTGTCTGGTTTCCAATAGTTATACTCAAGAACCATTGGGTAATGTCTGTTTTTGGTTAACTCTGAATTAGATGCTTTACATATGAAAGGTAATTTGTATCATTACTTTTTTTTCTGTTTGGAATTTAATAAAGACAAACCAGAAGTAGCACAAACTTGCTTTACATTATGCACTACATTATACACTCTTGAGCTAAAATCAAAAGACGAAACAAGACAAAGTGATTATAAAATGAGTGCTACCGACTCTACAAATTACAGCATTAATGTGACTCATCTAGTCTGAATTTAATGTCTCACAGCAACTGTAAACTACGTGTTAACACAAAGTGGAATTTTAACAACACCCCTAAATGACAAGTTCTTCCACGTCTTGTTTAGGACAAATCCTGATCAGCATGTGCACATTACTCCATAGTTCTTCATCGCTCTTATGTGTAAATTATAAACCAATATCTACTACAGACTACATGGCAAGCATGCATTTCTACCATCGCACAGCACTAGGGTCAGATGACTTATTACTAATCAGTGGTTTCCATGGTTTCCCATGTTTTTGTGTACCTGTGAATAAGTGGTTAGCTATTCTGGAGTCTTGTTGTTAGGTATAAAGGTAGATTTTTGTAATGCACATTGGTATTTTATCGTTAATTAATTGCATTCAGTGAACACTGCAAGTACATTGTAATGCTAAAGAGGAAGAAAGCCATGTAACCGTGACACAAAGCAGAAAAGACAACAGGACCACTTTGATGACGGACTGAAAAGGTCTCTGCCACCGACATAACGCTCCAGCTAAGAGGAGGAAGAAGAAAAGGAGAACACAGGAGGAAGGAGTGGAATAAGCCCCCTATAAGCCTTAGGTGTTGGGAGCACAGCAGGACAGTATCTGAAGATAATGAGGAGGAGATGGAGTCAGCGTGACGGTGCTGCAGGCAGAGCAAATTTCATCTCAGGGAAAAAGTGAACGGAATAGCCAGGCTTTTTCAGAAAGCACTACCTGTCTTACTGTTTTAGTACATGCATCAGTCTGTGTGTTTATTGGCATTTTCATTACTTCAAATGGGATTGAGTCAGTTAAACTTTCATGCTTATTTTTTACTTCAAAAATCGGACTTATTTTAACGGGTATTTTTCCCCTTTTACCTTAATATGCAGACTATGGAAGCTTGTTTCCTCCACTTTTCTATTTTCCTCCACATAAGTAAAACAGGTGCTGTAATTTGTGACTTTTTGTCTCCCATTTCTGACCGTTTTTCTTGAAATTGAAGGTTTATTTCTTACTATTGCAAGTTATAAACTCATAATTGCAAGTTTACATCTTAATTTTTTTTTTTTTTGCCAAGGAATAAAAAATAAAAAAGGTAACTGACACTTTTTATCTTACAGTTCTGAATTTTCTTCTTAGAATCGCACATTTATATCTCTCAAGTTTATAAACTTGTAATTGCAAATTCTGAGTTTACATCTCAGAATTATGTTTTTTTTTAGGATTGAGTCAGTTAAACTTTCATGCTTATTTTTTACTTCAAAAATCGGACTTATTTTAACGGGTATTTTTCCCCTTTTACCTTAATATGCAGACTATGGAAGCTTGTTTCCTCCACTTTTCTATTTTCCTCCACATAAGTAAAACAGGTGCTGTAATTTGTGACTTTTTGTCTCCCATTTCTGACCGTTTTTCTTGAAATTGAAGGTTTATTTCTTACTATTGCAAGTTATAAACTCATAATTGCAAGTTTACATCTTAATTTTTTTTTTTTTTGCCAAGGAATAAAAAATAAAAAAGGTAACTGGCACTTTTTTTCTTACAGTTCTGAATTTTCTTCTTAGAATCGCACATTTATATCTCTCAAGTTTATAAACTTGTAATTGCAAATTCTGAGTTTACATCTCAGAATTATGTTTTTTTTTAAAAGGTAATTGCGACTTTTTTTGAGTTTATATTTCCCAATTCTGACTTTTCTTCTTAGAATTGCAAATTTATATCTTGAATTCTGCATTTATGTTTTAGAATTTTGACTTTTTTTTTTTTTCTTCTTCTCAGAATTGCATGAAAAAAAGTCATAATTGTGAGATAAAAAGTCACAATTACCTTTTTTGTTTATCCTGCGGCAGAAACAAGCTTCCATAAGAGTCAACTGTAAGTAAATCATCCGTACTTTAATTTCCCTAAAACTGCAAAGACTCTTTGTGGTGCTTTCGAAACATTTTTCTGTTTGTTTGAGCATCTCAACAGAAACATCAGCAATATGTGTTTGGGACAGGACTATCATTACTTTTGCTGCTAGTGGAAATGACACACTTAAGCTTCAACCCTTTCACACGTAAGTTTGAAAATTTCAGACGGACCCTTGCATGTGGCCATACTGCAAGAATGTAAATTATGTGTCAGTGAAAGGATAGAGTTCAGGAAGATGAAATGCAGTGAAACTGGTTAAGATGTAACCCGTGTATGAAAGACTGAACTTGTCACTAGCCAAGCATGACGTTTAGAAACATTGCCGTATGAAAGCGAACCGCACCAAGAATAAAAAGCAACATTGTAATAAATTGTAATCCCTGTTTCGGAACAAAGCAATCGATCTACAGGTGTGAAAGCACCTAAATTACATAATACAAATGTATACTGTTTTGTGTTATCTAGCAGTACTTTTTGCATTTTTAAATCTAACAGTCACCATAAACATCTTTTTGCTTACTTTAATGTTAATATGGCCCTTTTAATTAAGAACCCATTTGTGGCATATTTAAAGGCTGTGGTGTGCTTATTACAAGCTTCAGTCCATCCTTGATTTTCTCTTTATGTTTGCTTCTCAAGGCTAAATGTTCATAGTTGCTAAAGAAGTGGCATTTCATTACATATTGACTAATTACCCTGATTTTCTACAGTCTCTGAGACGCAGCTGTAAAAGCCTTAAATTGAACTCTGAATTGAATGCCATTACCATCATACAGCTGTCATTCACAACAGCTCTTCTGTTTAATGAACATGCATTGTTTCAAAGCAAACAGATGGGACTGCTTTACCATGTCGACGTGAAGCCGCCATAGCAAGGAGATGTCACACACATAATCCCTGTCACATGTCAAATGCTTCTAGTCTGAAATCAGATCAAATGTGACCCTGGAGCACAAAACCAGTCTTAAGTCGCTGGGGTATATTTGTAGCAATAGCCAAAAATACATTGATCAAATGGACACATCTGCATAAAAAAGAGCCTCAGTATACAGCACAGAATAAAATACTCAAATCAGATCCAATATGAATATTTGCCACTAATTCTTTCAAGACCAACTGATTTGAGCTATGCACACTGACGTTGTCAACACTTCTCGTGTGACTTTTCTTTTCTCTTTTTTCTTTTCTTTTATATTTTAACACTGATACAAATGCTTAATGCTTAAATGAATCTTACTGTTACAAGAGGAAATTCATCATCAGTGTAATTTGAGTATTATTTATATTATTATACTTTATATGTTAATATTTCTAGAAGTTTTAGTTAAACCGTTTTCATTTTTATTAGTTTTTTGTTATGTGATTTTGTAATTTTTTTAATTAGTTTTTGTTTTTAATATTTCTGTTTATATTTAATTTATTTCGGGTTTTAGTAATTTTAGTTAGTTAATCAGTTTTCGTTTTAATTAAAGTTGAATTTTTAAACAATTTTGTTATGTGATTTTTTTATATATATATATTTATGTTCGGCTTTAATTTATTTCTATTTCAGTTTTCGTTTTAAGAATTTTAGTTTAAACGAAATTAAACGAAATTAATTTTCAATTAGTTGCATGGCAACATTTCTAAGTTTTGTGTAAGTTTTGTCTAAGTTTCCTATTTGCAAGTTTTCCATCTAATATTTATATTTGATTTGATTTCAGCTTTATTTTAATTAACCAAAAAGTCTCTCCTCTTAGAAATGAAACATCAATAAATGAATCTAGGGTAATGTTTCACTTTGCAGCATGTATTACATGCTTTTGAAGGCATTTACAAGTAGACATGCTGCATCAGTTTGTCTCTTTCCTCCCCCACCGGTCAGCTGGTTTCCAGCGTCATCTGCTGGACCCTATGATGAACTTCCATTACACACTGCGCAAGATGCACTTGCGTGAAGAGGAGTATGTGCTGATGCAGGCCATCTCGCTCTTCTCACCAGGTATTTCAGATGAAGCTCACATTCACATGAACACACGCGGCCAGCAGTTTCACCTCTTACGTGTGTGTTTTCATCCACAGATCGCCCCGGTGTGAAACATCACAGCGTGATCGACCGCAACCAGGAAACACTAGCTCTCACCCTGAAGACCTACATTGAGGCCAAGAGGACCGAGCCAGAGAAACGGTAAGAACGCTTTATTTCTGTCTCACGAGGAAAACTATTTCTTTGATTGCACTTACATTTGAACCTTCTCCTTCTGCTAGTCTGCTGTTCCCAAAGATCATGGCGTGCCTGACTGAGATGAGGAGTATGAATGAAGAGTATACGAAACAAGTGCTGAAAATCCAGGACATCCAGCCTGAAGTGTCTCCGCTTTTACTGGAAATAATAAGCAAAGACAGCTAAGCCTTCACAGAGCAGATGACTCAACTAACTGGCCTTGAACTCCTGAACTGGCTATCACCAGCCACGTTTGACCTTCATCTGAGGACACTAAGGACTGAAATATAGTCAAAACTAGCGAGGACAAGGACGGTGCCTACTGATAATGAACTACTGAACTGCAGCACACTGCAATTGTGAACCTGTCGTTTTATAGCTGTGTTACTACATGTAATTGTGTTTGAGTTTATCTCCCGGGTAATCTTTTTCTGGATCTTTTCATGAAAGAACTATTTCTATGGTTCATAACCAGATGTAGGATGGCACATAATATCTCTTACATTTACAGCATGAATGAAGCTTGAAATGTGATGCAGTAAGAGCAAGTTATTATGGCAGCATCACAAATGTATAAAACAACAATATGATACTATACTAGTCATTTGTGTTAATAGTCTGCCTTGACGAATCTGTTTATTTATTATTCATTTTTAAATGCAAAATAGTGGTTAACCGCTTCAAGGTATGTTGTGTTCAAATGATTTAATATCAATGCCAGTGTCAGATGTGAGTAGCTATATTTGATTCAAACATTTTCCAGATTAGAATGTAAATGGAGTTATTAATCTCATAAAGAACATGTTCAGGTCTTAATTTACTCTACATATTGAAAAAAAATATATAGGCTTTTTATGCAAAATATCTATTTTTATTTTTATATCTATAATTATTTTTCATTACAGTAATGAGAATGGGATTTTTTATGGTAATGAAAAAAATAGGCTTACTTTTATGCAAACTATGTGTTCTGGGCGTGGATTATGTTCTTGTCAGGTTTGGTGAGATTCACTGATATGTGGCTGGGTATCAAAAGAGTTGAGCTAGCTATTCATTTCATGCCTGTTGTGAATGCTTTATTAGAAAAAAAGCTTGCTGTATTTTGTGCAACATATCAGAAATTTTAGGAGGCTGCAAGAGTTCATCACACAGACACTTTCTTGAGAAGTGATTGCCTTTTGAAATTCTTCACTCGGCAGTAACCTTTTTCACTTTCAAGCAAATTTACTGAACAGACATCAGAAAGCATTTGAAGGTCATTTGGACCTTTTGTGGTTCATTTTGTCATTCAAGCTAAAAAAGTTAACAATGACAATCAATGTGAAGATTGTGAGCTAGTGTCAAATGTGAAATGACAATGTAGAGCAGATGCTTAGTGTTCAAACTAGGAATGCAGTATTTTTGGAAAATATTCTTTATTTAGACATATAAATACAAGCAGATTTCAGATGTCAGGCGTCTCTATAAAGCACAGATGCCTTCATATTGGCATCCTGTTTAGATTAAGCAGTTATTTGATCCTGTCTGATATATGACGAGGAAACTTGTCACAACACGAATCATTTCTACACTCAGGTTTTCTGTCTTTACAGTGATTATTTGCAAAGTAAGATGTATATGTCCCGCTCAGGAAAATAAAATGTAAAATTTTATGAGCATGTGTGTAGAATCTTTAACTGTGTAACTGTTTATTTTCTACAGGGTTTCTGCAGGATTTTTAAGCTCAAATTTAAGACTTTTTAAGACCTGCATAAATAAAATGAATACCATATGAGCGCAAAAGGGCAATGTCTATGGTTACATAACTGTAAAAAGCATGATTTTCCGTGTACCATATACAGGTTTTCACAAAAACAATAAGGTTTATAAAATGATAAACTTCACATTTCAGCTTTTAAATAATACAAAAAATGGATGTCAAAAGTATCAATTATTAATTTAAACAATTATTCAACTATTATATTAATTAACACATAAATATAATTTACTAAATATAATTTTAGTCTTAATTGCTTAGAATTTTATAATGTATTTATAATCTTCTTGTCAATCCACCAGCTCACATTTACAACTCTGCATGTTTGCAGTGTAAAAACATGGGTTGATTTTCACATTAGTCTAAACAAAAACAGCAGACGGGCTTATTGAAAATGCAAATTAATTATCTGCCAGCAGGAGGCGCTTTCCGAACGGCAGAAATATAACTGTTTCCCCGGTAACCGCAGTAAACAAAGCAGCAGCACCAGACTTTGAAACGTACAGCGCTCTTGTTTATTCAATGAAATCATAACCTTTTGAAGTTTAATCGTCACATATATATATTTTTTTTTAATCAAGCTGCATTTATTTGATCAAAAATATAGCAATATTGTAAAATATTATTACAATTTACAAAAACTGTTTTCTATTTGAATATGTTTTAAAAAGTAATTTATTCCTGTGATGGCAAAGCTGAATTTTCAGCATCATTACTCCAGTCACATGATACTTCAGAAACCAATTGACCCCAAACTTTTGAACGGTAGTAGGCTATAACACATGCTTTTATCCAAAGCAACTTAAAATGCATTTAAAGTATGTTTTATTTGAACTCAGGCACTTACCACAATCACCTTTAAACATAGGCAAGAGTGAAGAAAAAGAAGAGACAGTTACTTGCATGTTAATTTAGTCTAAATGGATTGAATTTGAGGATAGCGACATCTTGAGTTGGGAAAAGAAAGACGCGTGGCAAATGCAGGGTCATTTCCAAGCTATCCTACTCTTTATTTAATGCAAATTACAGTACCAGGTAACTAGTCTCTGAATCCAAGTCACACCAAGGACCAAAACGGACATATTTACAAGGAGAGGAGACATTTAGCATACCTTCACAGAAAAAGAATATATTTAAAATAAAATAAAAATTTCAGTCACAAACAGAGGCATTCAAGTAATATTAATGTTATACAGGTTGTTGTTTTTTTTCTTCCTTTTTTCCATTTTAAACCAAGACAACTTTTTTCCCAATAAGTGTATGTAATGTGATAGTCTGTATTCAGCCCACAGTCCTTAAAACATTTTTTTTTTGGTAATTGTTTTTAAACCTTGTGTCTTTACATTTGTACTCTAATTTTAGTCACGTGAAGTGGTCACACCATTCGTGGAAAGCAACACATCTATGAATGCGCATCTTACAAGCAAGCTTTACATTGAGGGTGCGGGGATGAGGGTCCGGCGGGTGCTACGTGACATCTCTACCGCATACTGTCGGCTGGCCAACGACCGAAAACACAAAAGAAATCATTATTATTGCCCCTGGGATGTTGCAGTTCCATCACAACACGCTCATAGTTGGTTCACTTTGGTAGTGGAACGAGTGTAAGAACATACATTGTGATTGGCTCCACAGGAACGTGACTCCTCCGCACACAAAAACACCTTTGTGCCAAACTCGAGAAAAAAAAAAAAATCAAGTGAGGAAAAACATCTACAGAAATGCCATCGAATGTGGTTTCTGATAGGAAATGAATTCGGCTGTCAGTCATTCAGACCAATCAACAGCACCTGCAGATGGTCACAGGAAGGGGCGTGGTCTGTCTTGTGTGTGGACAGGAAGTGGGTGTGGTCTAGGGACAGGAAGTGTATGGAAGCAAAGGCACTCCAAACTATAGATACACTATACATTACTAGTTATAGTTACAATAATATAGCTGGCACCTACTGTACAGCTAAGATTGAACTATATGGCTGGAGAAAGCTCCTTGTCTACAGTATCCAACAAACAGGTCATGTTTGCCCTGATCTTTTACATTTTTTCTTTGATCCATTTTTCATTTAATCCCACGTCTTTGTTTTCGCTCATTAACAGTTCTCAGGTCAGCATATTTATGTACATAGCAGAACACTCACTCACACAATCACACACGCTCACAAATTATACAAAAATCAAAACAAAACATAAAAATTAAAAGTAAAAGCCAGAATTTGGTGAGGAGCAACTGTGCTGTACTGTATATACACGTCTGTCGTTTTCTTATACTGCTATACTTTGTGTATTAAGACATTTTGGGAAATAAAAAAAGTACATTTTTCCATACGTTATGCTGAGACATGATGAAGAAAAAAGTAGTGGTTAAAACAACACAGCCATTTCAGTTTAACATTGCGAATGGAGCTCAAACACAGTCTCTGTGAAGTCGGCGCCACATCGATGCGTCTCTTCATGTGTTCTTTATGTTTAGCTGTGTGGATAAGAACAATGAATCTGAACATCACGACACTGACGCACACGCGGCAATAAATAACGAGAGGAAATCAGGACAGAAGGTGATCTATAATTCTACCAGGCTAACAGAAAACAGCAGAGAAGCGCGAAACGCTTGCTAGAAAAGAGCTCCAGCAGAGTCTTAGTCATTCACATACTGTATCATTTCAGTATGTGGCCGCTGCACTGACAAACTGTGATGGATTCTGATGCTAGATATAGATCTATATATAACTATATATATATATTTATTTTACATAATGCAAAGTAATATATAAACTGTGTATGTATATATCATACAAGAACACAGAGATGGAGACGCATGTCTCACCTGTCAATCAAAATGTCTGCCCCTCCCCTACAGCCCGCCCATTTTATAAAACAAGATAAAACAGATTCAGCCGACTTAAAACCCTGTAACAGAGTGTTTCTCTCTTGTCTTTGTGGTTGACATGCGGTTTTTATATTTGTACCTCTTGTACGGTGCCTTGTGTTTGTTAGATACGCTTAGATACAATATTTCCTCTAGTTTTGAATGCTTGCATCATTTTCACCCAATACATATACATATATATGAATATACACACTATATGTATATACTGTATATATATATATATATGTACTGTATACATGGGGTGCTCCCAACCAAATTCAAGCCATGCGCTATTAAAGGCCCAGGACAGTATAAAGGGAGAGAACGTGTAGCTAGAGACGGTCCAGGTGAGAGAAGGGGAGCCCAAATGCGAACGGAAGTGGATGGATCTGGCTACCGGATTGCTTACATAATAAGATTGTCCTCTGAGAATGAGAAGAAAAAAAAAAAAAAGTTCCGGCTGGTCACGGACCAGGTTTTATGGTTTAACCCCCCCTTCCCGACCTGTTTCCTGACTGCTCTCTCTTTTTCTCTGTCTCTGTCGCTCTCGTGAATTACACCCGACGAGGCTTTTCCACATGTATCATTCTGAACTTTGTAAAAAAAAAAAAAAAAAGACGTAAATGAAGGTTGGCTCTTGCAGTCTGAATAAGAGTGGTGGTTACATGACTCAAATCCTGCCCATTAAGCTGGTGAGCAGTGGGGTGGGCGTGGCCTCGGAGGCAGGGTCAGGTCTGATTGGCTGGGGCTCTCAGGTTGAGGTGTTGGAGGTGGAGGCAGAGGCTGCAGTTGTGGTCTGACTGCGATCTCCACTATTGGCATCTGGACACAAAAAGAAAACATTGTTATTAGCATATATTGTATGTTAATAGGGGTCAGAAAGGTGATGCTCATTTTCCTGTCATATCTATTAATTTCTTCAAAAATAATTTCAAAATGCAATTCATGCATATCATGATTTGAATGCAGTTCTTGTATGATGAACATGTTTTTAATTTCGCTTTAAATGTCAGCATGATACAACTATCTTTGTATCATAATAAAATAATAAAAAGCCCTATTAAAAGAACTACATTGTTATTAAATTCGTATTAAAGAAAAGTTTAAATAAGCAGTTTGGCATTCTATTTTAATGCAGAAAAAGCATAAAACCAGAAATTATATCATATAGACGAGCACTGAAGACTTCATGACTGGGTGTAAAAGTCTGTAAGTCTATTAAAATATCAGATAATTTGACAAGACAAGCTAATTTCAGGTATTAATATTCATTTTATTTATTTGTTTGTTTGTCGTGTTATTTGTTATATTATGTAAAAGTATTATTTAGCATGATTTAAATACCAATATAGTATTTATTAAATTTTTTCATGAGCTTTTTTATTTAAATTTAATTTTTTATATTTCTATTTAGCTTTAAATTCAGTTTTTGTAATTTGAGTACTTCAGCTTATTTTATTTGATTTAGTTTCCAAGGCAACATTTCAATTTTTTTATAGTCTAATATTTACATTTTATTTTATATTAACTTTGATTCAATTAACAAAAAATATTTTAATAGTTTTACTTAGTAACAACACTGGTTGTAAAATGTCATGTGGTGTGACTCTCCCTAATTTCCCTTTAAAAATACTTTAAACCCTTTTTTTTTTTTTGAAAACGAAGATA